GAGACAAATTTTCAACATTTACATTTAGAGATACATTCAGTTGAAGAGAAATTTCGTTTACAGTTGTGAGATTATCAAGCACGTACAAAATTTTGTGACGTTTGCTTCCGTTCCGAATTCGTCGGTCGTAACGTTAAGATAAATTGACAAATTAATTTCTATCTTTTTTTTTTTCAAATCTATTTTTTTAGATAAATCAGATGCGAGACAATTTTTAACATTCACATTTAGAGATTATATTCTCTTATGTATTCGGTGTAAGATTATCAAGCACGTATAAAATTGACAGATTATTATTTTATTTCTTTTTTTCTTCAAATGTATATTTTTTTTTTTTAAATGAATTAAGTTAATATATATAACCGTTTCAATTACTAAAATTGAAAGTTTCGATCGGAAAATATTCCAGTATATCTTTCCATTGGTTGTTTTACCGAGCGTAAAGGAATTTCAAATGAATGAATCTTTGGATTTTGCCAGTAACTCTGAGAGATTACTTAGCAGTTTGTTTCTTTTGTTTTTCTTTCTTAAATGAAATTTTCCAAGTTTTAGTTCAATCTTCGTGCGCACTCAACGATGACTCCGTTATATTATTGCATACGTCTTTCGTACGTGATCTTTTCGTTTGTGGAACAAACGTATCGAACAAAGTGCTTTTGTAGAAAATAATATTGAGCATAAAGAGTGATTTTTACACTTTGTAACGATCCGTAGAGGGAAGGAGGTGGGTTGGATGTGCGTGATACTTTGGTTCGAATCGACACGTAGACGAAAAAATATTCCTCTTTTCTTTTCTTTTTTTCTTTTATTGTTGTTAATTCAAACTTCGTACTTTGATACCTGATTGTTTCTACGAGTTCAGCAAGAAAAAAGAGAACAAAAATACAATCAATAAAATCGTTCGTATTATATCATTATTAATTTTACGGAAATATATACAAACATTCTTTCTTTATTATTATTTAAAAAAAAAAAAAAGTAAATTAAATGAAACAACGTATCGAATTTAATTGAAAAGATCGAAAGATTAAAATTAATAACGAATTAATTCCTCCCAATTGATTTATATAAATTGTTATAGAATTCTATACGATTTTTAATCGTGAGAATAAATAAATAAATAAATGTATGCATATATATATATGAAAAATTCTCATTCGTGAAAGCACGCGATTTGCTTATTTTCCCTGTTACGTGATATCGTACAAATTAATTTGATTAAAATCACGAAAAGTGAAACTATAGATATACGATAATCGATAATAATAATAATAAAAATATAACGATTGTCATGAAAATTGTAGAACAACGAGTAATATAACGCTTACGGTCGTTTATTGTGATTATACTCGAAGCAAGCTATGAACGAAATCATTTTTGTCGATAGCATCGATAAATTGTTAGTTATTTAGAAAAAAAGGGTTACTATGGTATGGTGGGGTAAACCTTTCATCGTGAGTTAGCGCCAAGGAATTCAACTAACTAACATAAGATCGATTAGTAACGTCGTTAAATCAACGCCAAAAGGAGTGGAAGAAAATAGAACGAATTTATCAGATCCGCCATGAGCCATCTTAGCGTAACGATCTAACAGCGTGGCATTCATGGTTGCAAATAAATAAAAAAAAAAAGAAGAAAAGAAAAACGTACCAACATAGAACAATCTCGATTAACAATAAAAATTGTTACTCGTGCCCTTATTATTAAAGCATCCTCCCAGTTAGTTTTTATTTATAAAAATCGTTAATTTCGTTCGAGTTGTATGAAATGAATGAATTCCTCCTCCCCCTCCCCCTCCCCCGATTAAAATAGCGGAATTAGTTTTGATTTCGCTAATGGAAACAAAAATCAGTTAATTGTTTCTTTTTCTTTTTTTTTTTTCCTACTCGTTAGATGTAAAAAACGTAGTGGCAATTAGAAGACTAAAGAACGATGAAGAAAATGAGAGAGAGAGAGATAGATAGATAGATGAGAGAGAAAATTAACTACGCCTCGTTTCTTAATTGACTTAATTCAGGGTAAAGTGTGGGAGTAGAAGGGGGGAGGAAGATAGAAAAGGAATGCTATGACCGGTTGATTCCCAAGTACCGTTTATGCAATGCGAATGACTGAGAACGAATGACGTGATGCAAGCGACATCGCACTTGTGCTTGTTGTTGTTGTTGTTGTTGTAGATCTTGAAGAAGAAGAGGTGGTGCATGTAAGATCTCTAGCAAAGGAGAGAATGAAAGAAAGATATCGAGGTTTCCAACTTGGCGTATCTCGGCTCAACTCGGGATTACTCGATTCGCGTTTAACGATCAAGAAATATCTCGGTCATGGTATTTTTGTTTTATTCCGATTCGCACGAAATATCGAAGGTTTTAGTTTTTATTAGAAACGTTGCAATTAGTTAATAGAATGGGTTCGTATATTCGAATATACGCGAAACATATATAATATGTGTTTTATATATATTATATTTTATTATATTATTTATATATTTTATTTTATTGTTTTACTTATCTTCGAATTTTGTGAATATTTATCGGAAAAAGAAATTTATTTTGTAATCACGATCGCGTTAGTTTATTCCTTTATCAAGTAATTTAAGAAAAGAAATTTAAGAGAGATGGATTTTTTTTTTTTTTATATTGAAAACGTTTTAATTAGTTAATAAAATAGTTCGTATATTCGAATATACGTGAAAAACATATTTTATATTATATTTTATTATTTAACTTATATCTTATATGTTTTTGGATATTTATCGTAAAAAAAGAAGAAAAAAAGGATACGAAATTTATTCTATAATCACGATCGTAAGTTTATTCCTTTATCGAGGAATTTAAGAAAAGGAATTTGTAGTAGGTACGTCTTAACAGAGATGGTTCGTGAAAGTTTCGAAATATTTAGGTCGATGATAGTGTACAGTGGGTATCATTGTGCATAGCACACGCTTGTATGCAATAGTCGGACCGGATACGTCCAGTCTCTCTGTTGATTTCGTGGATCCGTGTCACGCGAGACTATGATACTACTCCCTCTCAACACGTCCTGTCACGAATGACAAATTATTTCTTCTGACGTATAAGCGTCATCGTTGTTTTAAAACCAAACCAAAAGAAAAAAAACACACACACACGTGCACATATACACAGATCAATTTACGATATTGCTTTCGGTGAAAACAGTGGATACTTTGATAAGTAAATAATCGAATTTCTCTTACTTTACAAACAAAAAAAAAAGAAAAGGAAAAAAGAGGGATGTAATTCGATCTTCTATTGCTAATAATTAAATTGATATCAATTTCGTTGTGAAAAAAAAGCACTTATCGTATTATATTCTAGTGGATAGAAATTTAATAACGATCGAAATAAGAAACCCCTTCCCCTTTCTTCTTCTTCTTCTTCTTCGTTAAGCTTATCGATGAAGATAAAAATAATCATTGATGATGTGTTTTATTTGAATAAAAGTTGCAGATAGAAAAGAGACGAAGTAGACTGTATTATAAACGTATCAAGTTGCGATGAAGGCGGTACAGGAACAACAGCAACCGGAATCGATAGAATCCAACGAATCGGTTTCCGCCTCTTCAAATGAGTACGCCTATCGACCATTGACAACGAAACACCGAAGAGCCGGAAGTACCGGTACTACTGGAGACGAGGAATACACTACAGATGAAGATGAACTTTATCCGGACGAGGCCGATTGCACGATCGGTTCGACGTTACATGCACCTCATCCGATTCTTAAATCCGATCTTGCAAGAGCTGCAACAGATTTATTTGGATACGCGAACAAGAGGGAGGACGAGGAGGAAGAACCTACCAGTCTCTTCGACGAAGATGACAAATTTCTTAACAACAGGTTAGCCGAATGTTAACGAGAGTGCCCCTTTTTGTTTTTTTCGATTTACACCTCGTATTACTTTTTTAATCAATATTTTCTTGGTGTACACGTTTAACTGTTCGCGGCACAGTATTTCAAATAGCCCTACACGTTGCATTGATTTTTTAATGCGTTTTTAATGGAACAAATATTGATATATTTTTATTAATACAGGTATCGCATAATGTAACATCGTAAACAAGAAAAAAGAGTAATAGTTTAATTACATTTGTAACATTAATTGTCGAAGATATTACCGAAAAATATAAATTTATGTGTATGCAGTTATTGCAATATTTAACGAGGTGGGACACTTTTAAATTTCACCGTATCTCAAAGAGTTAAAGAAAACTATAAAATAAATCATTGTGTTTAATTAAAGTATAAACAACAAGCATATATTAAAAATATAAATTTGACTGAAGTGCCATGTCGTTAACGGACAGAAATTTCTAACTTTCGTTAACGTCATTTTGAACGTATAAATATTGATCTTCCCTTGTCATAAATATGTTTTGCAATGTTTAAGGATTTTATTATTGCAAAAAAAAACAAATTACTTGCTTCGAAAGTTCTTAGTACATTTTCGTATAATCGGACTCGTTCTTCTTTAAATTTAGTTCTAGTTTAGCCAAATCGAATTCGCTCTTCGTATACAACGACAAGATACACAGTGTTTTAACGAGGCATCGAAGTCCGACGACAATGAACGAAAAGAAGCCTACCGAGTCTATCCTAAAGACGCATGCGTACAAGTCGGAGATTCAGGTACCTGCTACTCAGACGATAACTAATTTGGATGTTAGGTTGGGCGAAGAGAAAATAAACGATATTATGGAAGAAGATACAGCGACTAAACGGGACGATATTTGTTCGTCATCGTCGAAGTCATTGTCAACATTATCATCATCATCATCATCAGATATATCGTCTAGGAAAAATGTTCAGGTAAAAATAATTAAAAAATCATTGTTAACATTGTTTTAAATGTATTAAGATATTTAGATGAAGATATTGTTGTTAAGAAACTTTTAATAGGAAATAATGAATAATTAAAAATATATTTGAAAAGATTCGTTGTTGTTGTTGTTGTTGTTGTTGTCGTTGTTGTTTTTGAAATTAATAACGAAAATAAATAAATAAATATCTCGGCCGAACGTAGGCTGAAACGAGAGGTAAGGAAGAAGAAAGTTCTGTAATAAAGGATCCAAATGATCATCATCCACCCTCGCCAACTACAGCACAATGGGGGAGAGCCGTGGCAGAGGTGAAAGAACACGCTGTGGCTAAATTGCAAGAGGAGTTGAAGAGAGCACACGAGGAATTGAAATTGAAGGATGAAGAAGTGGGTAGGCTGTCAAGGATTCGTCAGGACGTCGAAGCCGAAGTGGAGGATTTAACCGCCAGTTTATTTCAAGTACGTCGTCAAGTCGTGTCATGTCATGTCATGTCATGTGTCGAGAATTGACATTCGAATATTTTAAAAAAAAGGGAAAAAAAGAAAACGATATGAAATATCAAGCAGCAAAATGTATAGTTAGGATTTTTTTTTTTATATATAGGAAGCGCACAAGATGGTGCAGGAGGCTAACATGCGTCAAGCTACGGCGGAACGTCTTTTGGAGGAGAGTCGAATGAAAGCCGAGGTTTTAGCCGCCGAAGTGACTGCATTAAAAACTTTGGTTTTGACTTCGACACCGGCAAGGCCAAATCCCCATTTGCATCCTCAGATTGACACGAGATGTCGTTTGAGTTCGAACGACGAATCCCAACAAAGTCTTTTCGCTAAGAAACATCGAAGGTAATTATTTTCTTTTCTTTTCTTTTTTTATCTGCAATATGGGATTATAACTCTTCGAGGCACGGTGATATTAAAAGTGCGTTCCAACTTTTTTTTTTTTTCATGCGTAAACGTGCAATATTGAATTATTATTATTTTTATATGTGCACGTTTTGTATATTTTGTATACGTTTTTATTTATCTAATATTTCGTGCCTTAAAGAGTTAACGAATGAAGTCGAAGCGAGGAATTGTTATTAACGAAAAATTGATTAAACTTTTTTTAATCAAAAAGGTCGCCGTCGCATTTCAATTTAAAATACGGTCGAGAAAATTCACCACCTGAGTCACCTGTTAAAGAACAGAGGCCATCATTACCGAGCGATAGGGAAACATTAGCCAGGGATTGGAAGAAAGATCGTGAAAAGGATAGAGACAAGGATTGTAAGGATCTAGGATTGGAGGTAGATCCTAGAGTACATACGGAGTTCCTTAGGTGGAAGGCAAATCCTTGCGTAGATAAGAGCGATCCATTTGTTGCCAGAGTGTTCAAAGAAGATATAGATCTTTGTTTAGATTTTCCTAATAAAGAAATTGGTTCGAGAGTACGACAAGCTGTTCTAGATGGAATCATTTTCATCGAGGCTGTCAGTGATAAGACCAAACTTGCCTTTCCTAAGTACGTATATATATTGATTGAACTATAATAATTTTGATAATCATTTTAACTTTATTCTTCATTATATTTTTTAGAAAATGTGCACTGCTCGAAGCATCAAGGCAATGCCATTATCGCATGAGACTGGGTGATCAAGAGAATCAATGGCATTGTATCTCTCAAATTTGTCGCAACCGAGTTAGTGTGTTTTTTTTTAATTTTAATTACAAAATATTTTTCTATACAATTTGGATATATAATTAACCGATAATTCTTTTAACGATTTAGATTATAGCGGTCTGCGATTTTCTCAATTATTTACGTTACGTAGAACGAGGTCTTGTTAAAAGTTCAGGTAAATTATACGATCGATTATTTTGATAGTCTTATGTTGATTTAAAATTATACTTTGTTTGTAAAATAATTCTTTGGGGTCGTTTTTGTTTTTTTCTTATAGTTCACGACGTATATTGGGAAATTACACGGCTACGTAAAGAGATGGTGTTCGCTCGGCTGGGTTTGGTGCTTTCATCCTGAAGTATTTTTCTAGGGGAATTTCATCTAGTCTGGAAATATAACGGCCGTAACGCGGACCTAGAAAATTTTATTCTATTATTTTTTTTTTTTCGACGAGGGAGGAAGAAAAATGGCTGGAAAGAGTCCGTTAAAGGATTTATGTAAGATAATAATATTGATCGTGACGTAACGATCGATAATAGTTGTCTTCATTTGACATGGGGGAGCTGGTTATTTTATGAAATCATTCTCTCATTTCGTGTGTCCTACTGTCTCTCTCCCCCTCTCTCTCTCTCTCTCTCTCTTTATATTTTACCGTCACTATTTAGTATATTAGATTGCACTTATTGCCAATTGGGGAAAGAGATAATGACAAAGCGACAATGTAATTGATCCACGGGGCTGTGAATGATCTTTAAAAGAAAAAAGAAAAAAAGAAAACAAAGAGGCAAAAGTTAGACGTTGTCGACAAGTTCCCTACATGACAAATGTATATAAGAAATGACGTTTTTTGAATCTATATTACTTTATACGATTAGAAAATAGAGATACATTGAAAATGTTACGGACGTTTGTGCAATGAGAAAAAAAAGAAAAGAAAAGAAAAGAAAAGAAAAGAAAAGAAAAAAAAAAGGGGAGATACGACGCGTAGCGATCGTCCCTAAAAAAATGTTGATATTCGTTGTTATATTATATTTGTGAGTATACATTATTGATATTATTACCTGTAGATAAAAGCAAGAGAGAAAAAGAAAAAAAAGAAAAAGTAAGGAAAAAGATGAATAATGTTTTATGTGGACCAGAGGAATCTTTGAATAGTTTAAAATATACAATGTAGAAATCATTTATCTATTTCCTGCATTCGTCCTAGACGTTTATTATATCAAGCAGCGAAAGTTCTCTCTGTCGAGATTAGTTTAAATTCATTTAAAGAGATTCAATAGGAGGAAGAATTATTAGTTATTATTAATACGTGTATGTATGTTGCGAGTTGTTAAAACCAAGAAGGTGCATATAAAACGTAAAGAAAAAAAAAACAATTAATTTATTTGCGATAAATCTCATCTGATAAATAATCTTCCGTATGTAATAATTTAGACGATCGTTTTAGGAATTAGCAATCTCTCAATCCAATTTTTCTACGCGGCTTTTACGTACGAGCTGAAACGTTTTTTCAATTCGTTCGATATAAATATATAATGATATTTTGCTATTTCGATATTTAAAAGTTATAATATATTATAGATCTTCGATTTACATGTTGAAAACGAAGTAATTAGCAAGCTGATTATAAATATTATAATGACTTTGTCGACTGAATGGCGATATTTATAGTCTTCCAATGATTTCATTCGATTTACAGTATAGTTATGAATTTTTGGTCAAATTATTATTACGAGACAATGCGAATATTGAATCAATTTCGCTGAATGAAATATTATTGTTATATATATATATATATATATATGTTGTAGAAGTAACAAAGTTTTTTGTCTTTTTTATTTTGTTTTTTTTTTTTCGTATTGTAAATCAATCTTGATCAAGTTTACTCCATACACATATTTCGTAGAAACAAGTATCGCTGATTATAATTGAGGGAAATGCGAAAATTCTGGCCGTAATTTGTTTTTTTTTTTTTTTTTCATTAACGGCGAATATTTCCTGTAAATACAAGAACTTACTATTACTATTACTACTACTTGCCTATCGATTGTAAATAGACTGTCAAAATGAGATCTGAAAAGATTCTTGTATTTAAAAGAAAAGAAAAATAATAAAGGTAAATTTCATTGTTCGATCGTTTTTCTTTTAAAAACATTTTTTTTTTTTGTTGAAAATATGCGTTCATCTTTTAACATGGATTGATTGTAAGAAAATGACTGACCCTCGCAGATCGAAGTAAATAACAATATTTCAAATGATAAACGTTTATGTGATGGCACGTTACGTGTGTATCAGTCTTTTTATTTATAATATGTAATATAATAATATAGTATTTTGTTGTTTGCTTGACGTTTATAATTGGTCTTACGTAATTAAATATATTGAGGTTCTTTATTTTTTATTAGTCTTTCACGATTATTATATTCGTTTTTTAATGACGAGATTTATCGGCGGGGGTGAGATGGTAAAACCATCGATACCTAATAAATTAGGTTCGGGATATCCTGGAGCTATGGCAAAGTAAAATTTTTGCAGCATGCAAGCGGTTACCAAGAAGAGTATATTTTTCGCAAGAATCTCACCTGGACATCTTCTGCGACCTGTACAACAAAAAGAGAAAATTATTATTAGTAGATATACAAAAAAAATGAAAGTATAATAAGGTGATACATTTATAAAAATAATAATCGCGTAATATATACGAATACCTAATCCAAATGTCATTATCCAAGGATCGTCACAATATTCTCCATTTTCATTGATAAATCTTTCAGGTCTAAACACATTAGGATCACCCCAGTGATTTTCATCCATATGAACGCTCATAAAATTTGCTAACATAATTGAATCCTTTTTTATATTGTATCCTAGTAGAGTTGCATCGTTTATAGCACGATGAGGTACCGAAGTCGGTCCTACGTTTCCCATTCTTGCAACTTCCGCAAGAGTTGCTTGTAAATATGGTAGTCTGTGTGTGAGATTTTAATAGAAACAATAATTCGTAATTATGAATAAATATATCGCACTAGATTTCTATTATGTTCTAGATCAGTTAGTTCACTTAATTTATTATTCATTTGTTATATTGTATTAACTATGATAGTTCATATTATTTCTTTCTCTTTGAATGAGATTATTATAACGCATTATAGCACTTACGTTATATTCAATTACGATTTATAAATCGTGTTTATAAAAAAAGAAAAGAAAATTGTGAAATAGAAAACAATCTAATATACCGATTTCTATTTGCCAGACGTGGTAAAATATCTTTCCCAAGAACATCGTCCAATTCGTCGTGTATCTTTTTTTGTATATCTTGTTTTACCGATAGAAATGCTATCACGAAACCTATGGTATTGGTGGTTGTTTCAATCGAAGCAACGAAAAGATCTCTGATTAGTGCGATCAAGTTTTCATCTGTAAACGATCGATATAGATTTTACGATTTTATTGTATAATTTTTGCACGTAAAATCAAACTAGAAATGTTATAACATATATATATATATAGATAGATAATAAGATGTTTTAATAATAAAGAATATTCTTACCATTGAAGCATGAAGGTGAAGATAAATTCGTGCACCGCATTTTCATTTCATTTAAATAAATATCGATTAGGTTCGTCGGTTCATTTTGTATTTTAGTCTCATCGTGTATCCTTATCATTTTCTATGATCAATAAACATTTGTTCACATATATATATCTATTATGAAAATTAATTAAAACAAAATTATATTACAATATATTTGACTGTATTACTTTGAAGTATAGCCACATTCGATTATGGCGTTCTTGGATTTGCGTATATCCTGTTAGATTTGGGAAAATATATCTGAGAAAAGGTAAATAATTTATTATACGACCGGCCGTGTTGTAACCTTTTACATTTTCTTTCATTAACGCGATAACCTCCTTCAATTTCGGATTTTCTTGATCCAATTGAAATCTGACGAAGAACGTACAACGAAGGAAATATAATTAAATTTATCGTAGATATTTATTTATTGAAAAAGTATATTATAAAATTAATAAATATATGTATATATATATATATATATATATTTAATATAGGTCTTATTAAATGTAAACGTTTATTTATATATATATAAATTAAATATACTTACTTCGATCCTGTAATTAGAAACCAAAAACTTGCAATAACAGCGATAGAAACGAGATCATATATTTCTGTAATTGGGCCTTTTTTATCTGCCAATTTTTCGATCATTTTTAACAACGATACAGTATCATCCAGTATCATATCTTCCATGTTTGTTTTATCAAAGCCAAGATGTTTCAAAGTTTTTACTGTGAATCTATATATAATTAATATTAATTAAAATGAATACATTTTTTTTTCTATTTCTTTCTTTTTTTTTCAGATAAACATTACCGTCTATGTTCCGACCATACGTCTCCATCGTTAAATATCAATCCTCTGCGTTCGCCACGTGTTCTTAATCGTATTTCAAAGTTATTTGGTCTGCCATCGAATTCATTTCGACTTAACATTTCGACAATAGCGTTCCTTCCCGAAACAATTATAAGTGATTGACCGAATATAAGTTTTAAATGTACCACCGGTCCGTAAATTTCAGCCAAATAACACCAAACACGTACGTGAAATTGTATTTTCTTCAGTAAAGATTTAACGTCCAACATATTTCCGATTATTGGTAACCCTCGCGGACCTTAAATGATATATATCGTTAATTCAATTACGTTTTTTTATGTAACACGATTATTATTATTTTGAAATAATAATTACCTGGCGGCAAATTTTCTGATCGTTTTCGATCGATCATTATTTTGACGAACAACAATATGATTATCGCATTAATGACGAAAAACAACATTTTTCAATGAGTTTAACTTTTATACATCGACTTTTATGAATATTCACGATATTTTTAGTATCGAAAGTAATACAAGAATTATTCACGAAGTATAATTTTAAACAACAACGTTCGTGACATTCCGTGTTGCGAGTCAGTTCGAAACTAATTTTTCCTTTCACTTCTGCAGCAGCTAAGAACTTGTCCGGTTTAAAAGTTTTCGATTGCATACTATGACACTTTCTTCGGTATACTCAGGCTCTTACGTAGAAACCATTTACGGAAGTTCTTACAATGTTAACACAGTTATATAAATAACGTGTACTTGTTAATTAAATTTCTTTGAGATTATTAGTTATTAATGTACTATGGAAGAAAATTCTTCCGATTACTTTCATTTATAAATAGAAACGATACGTGATTCTCAATCGGGTTGAAAAATATTAAATAAGGATATTGAAGATATACAGGGTTTCCCAATTGAAGGAAACCGCATAAAGAATTTCTTTGTTTTTAATAATATGAACAATATTGAATGAAACAGTTGAATACTATAGTTTATATAATTTTAATAATTAAAAACAAAACGAATAGCAAAGGATATCAACGGTGTGACAATTTATTGCGATTAAACATTTTCAAAATCAATTGTACAATACATATATCGTAATACATAATTGTAATGATATTTTTTCGGATAATTCTTACGATTTTCCATAATAAAGTTTATGACCTATTTATGTATGGTTCCATAGTAGTCGTTCCACCGCAAACGTAAGCTGTACGCAAAACGCATAATTGTCTCGCAGGATCGAAAATAGTCTGGTTTGGACATCTATATATTCTTTTAACATAACCATTAGTGCTCCAATAACACAAGTAATATTGTTTACAAGTTGGATCGACTATGGGAAATCGACCAGCTGATAAACACTGATCCGGATTGGGTGTAGTTGTTTTCATGCAAGCATACTGTGTCGGTAATACGCATGCTTTTCTATTTGGATCGAATATTGTACCATCGGGACATTTATAAATCTGAATAGTGGAATTAGAATTGCACTGGAAATAGTATTGACAAGTGACATCTTTTAAAGGATAGTAAACATTAGGTTCACACGTAAATTGTGCTTTCACCGATAAGTCGAATATCCAAAGCGTTAACAAGAAAGCTTTGAAAACAATGTCGAACGCACCCATTTGAATTTTCGAATGGTTATTTAATGAATTACGTGAATAATACTACGCTGATTTCATTCCTTTCGTGCCGTTTTATAGGTCACGTTTTTTTTCTTTTTCTTTTTATCTACTTTATCAGTTAACTTGACTTAAGTTGATTAAATGAGTTATTTGAACTGTGTTACATTGTTTAAGTAAGTAGATCAAATTCCGAGAAGAGAACTGGTTTTTTAGGAAAATTATTGATAACGCCAATAACGTCCTTGAGTGAAATTTGTCGTCAACGTTAAAAAGAAAGTCTCGTAATTTTATTTGACGACTAGATTTAATCATTGTTCTAACTGGAGAGACACGACGACGAGAACAGAACCGACTTTCGATCACGTAGCTTTGCCATTACTATTATAATTTCGTATCATTTCGTTTGTTTTATTCGTTTTGCGGTGGAAATATTTATGACGATGGATGTTAATTTAAATAAATATTTTTCCGAGGATAGGTGTTGCATAGATAATAATAATATATTTCGTTTAAACGCTTGTAAAATATTCAGTAATGTGTATCTGACGATAAGTGAATTTTTCTTTATTTTTTTTTGTTTTAGAGATTAATTGATATTCAATTTGTTATATAATATAACGCATTGATATTGTTATGTGTTCTGTCTCCTGCCTTATAGGGCTCGAGACGATCACTTTCACTGTTAGTACTCAAATTTATCATTCACGTTGACGCAATCCTATTATACTTTCAACCGGTGTACGTAAAACGATTTGTTTTACGTATCCCAAATAATTATGTATATGTATACAATTTTGCGAACATGCAATAACATTTTAAAGAATTTTTTGGGGCAAATTTTGTACCAGTTTAACACTAAAACCACATCACTGGCATTGTCAAATGCTTCCGATAATTTTTGTAAGAATTTTATAATTTATAAAAAAAATGCAGTGAAAAAGCATCAAATTTATATATTATTCATTTTTAAATAAAAGAAAATATATTGTTCGTCATTTTAATCGATTAAACTCTCGTTCTACATTAAGATATAT